AACACCACCACCACCCACCACAACCACCACCACAACAAACCACCACACCACCACCACCACAACCACCACCACCAAAACCAACACCACCAAAACCCACCACCACCACTACCACCACCACTACCACCGTCGTCCTCGTCGACGCTTCCCGCCGCCGCCGCCCGCCGCCCCAGGCGCCGGCGCCGGCCCAGACAAGGGAATCGTCGTTTTTGCCGCCGCCACCAGCCGCCGCCGCCGCCAGCCGCCGCCGACGCCAGTGGGGGGGTGTTCGAACCCCCCCCCCGCCACGGGAGGTGAAGGGGGGGTCCGGTTCCGGACCCCCCCTCCAGGCGACCACTGAACGCGCTCATTCCGTCATTTCCGACACGGGATGATTCGGACGTGGCGTTCCGGGACCCCCCGGGCATGTGGGGCGTCTTCCGTCAGCCAGCGGGCGCAATGAACGCCCCGGCGTACCACGCCATGCAGTGGATGATCTGTCTCCGCACTGGCGTCGCAGTCGCTGTCAACAGCGATGGCCGGATCTGGTGCCTCACGGGGTCTATGCCCGTGTCAGAGGTTGAAGCGGCGGAGGATATTTCGACTGGCCGCCTCGGGGCGCGCTGGACCGTCTGTGCACGTTCGGTGCGGCACGCCTTGCGCGCTAGCGCGCCAGCTCAGCCAGCCCCTGTTTGTTTCGTTCGGCAGCCCCCTGCTCGCGGCCTTGCAATGCACGCAGGCGGCGGCGGCCCCCCTGGCTCGGCGCGCGGGGCGGCGCCGGTCACGCACACCAGGGTCGGCGCGGCACTCGAGCAGTTGCACTTGGCGCTGCGAGCTGCGGAGGAGGAGCGATATTCGTCGGCTTCGCAGGCGGCCTTCCAAGGCCCGACCCCCGGCACACCGACGCTGCGTGGAGCGGCGGCCCACATCTGGGCAGCGGCGTCTCGCCACGATCTGTCCAGCCTTTACGGGGGGGCCGCTGGGGCGAGGACGCCACGGCGCGCGCGCTGCCAGGCATTGCAGGCGCCGCCCGCGCCCTGGCCCAAGGTCGCCAGAACACCGCGCAGACGATGAAGCGGTTCGCGGCCGCCACTCCCGGTCGGCGCATGGCAGCCCCCAGGTCTCCGTGCGACGGCTTACTCGGGCCCAGTGAGAGAGGCCACACGGCGGGCCGAAGCGGCGCCTCTGGCGCGACATGGTAGCTGCCCCCTCGTCGGCGGCGTCGGCGTAGGCCTCTCTGGGAGCGCAAACCCTGCCGGCGCGATCCCGGCGCTCGCGCTCGAGCTATGGTCGGGGGTGGACAGAACCATCAACAGTGACACGTCGATTAGTGAATTGTCCGTTGTCGGTTCTCGAGATGGCGCCGTGGCCGTTATTTCCCAGGCTTGCGCCCGCCAGGTTTGGGCCTCAGGTCGTTTTCACTAAGCCACGTTGTACTGAAGGGGAGTCTGTCCATTCCCGATATGGTGAGATCTCGGCATCTTGATGGGCTCGCTCGGTGTCGAGTTATTCGTCTGCGCTGAGTGTTATCTACTCGAGGGCGCAGACCTGGGGCGCCGCCTTCCGGATTCCCCCGTTTCGCCGCGCGGCCCGTGGACAGCATCGCATGGCGTAGCGTGCGGCTTCAGCGCTCAAGGGGGGTCGCCAGCCCACTGGCTGCAGTCGGCGTCGAACGCCGAGCGCGTCGCGCGGTTCGCCGTCGGCCCCGCCCCGATCGCTGGAGGTTTCGCGATCCCGGCCGAGGGCCCCGAGGCGCCCGCGGAGACGCGGCGGGGCCTCGCGAAGTGCGACGCCCTGTGGGCCAGTCCATCTGGTCCAGCGCCAGTGGCAGGATCGTTGCTCGCAGCGACCTGGGCCCCCGCCCCGCGCGCGAAGCCGCGCGCCGCTCTGGGCTTGCCAGCCGGGGCCTCCAAGATCTGGCGCGGCAGGGCGCGCCCGCCCACGCCGAGGGGAGGGGGCTGAACGTCGCGCGGGGAACGGGGCCAGCGAAGCGGACGGCGGCCGCCCACGCTGGCAACCACTGTCGGGGCCAGGGCTGCTCCGGGGGGCGCTGCGGCAGGCGCCTGGAGTCGTTCGGCAGGAGCGACCTCGACCATGTCCCAGTGGCCCCGCCCCTGGCGCGGGGGCCCCCAAGACTAGGGGCAGCCGTGAACGGAAGGAAGGCGCGGCCAGCAGTGATATTGGTTCTGGCGCCGAGACCCTGCGGAGTGGCAAGAGGTCGGAGACGCGCGCCTCAGGCAGTGCCCCTGGGCGGCGGCGCCGGAGCTTGAGCGCTGCGCGCGTCGCGAGGCCAGCTGGCGAGCCTGGGGCGCCCTTGAGATGGCAGTCGCGGCAGCCTCGTGGGCATGGCGCGCCGCCGTGGCGCCCGCCGCGATCCACGGGTAGTTCACTGGCGTCGCGCAGGGCGCGGGCAGCGCGACCCCCAGTGCCCTGCCCCAGGCGCTCGCCCGAGAGACCGCCTCGGCACTCCGCGCCCGCGTTGCGGGCCACGCCAAAGGTGCTTCTGGGCCGCGACGCTGGGGCCCCGGAGGTCTACCTGGCGAGGCTGCTGCGGGAGCGGGGGCGCCAGCTCCCAGATCCTCGGGGCCCAACCTACTCGAGGGCGACGCGGCCATCGCAGATGCGGCAGAGTACATTGCGGAGCGCGGGGCTGACAGGGAGGTGCAGCGGCCGGGTCTCGACGAGGGGGAGATCGATCCGGGCCGCCTCCGCCCGCCGGCTGGACTCCCGAGCCGAGCGGCGGCCATGGCGCGATGCGCGGTGCAGCGATCGCGTGGCGTACGCCAACGAACAATCCACGGGTGACATGGATCACATCCGCGCGGGCCGCGCAGCAGCGTGCCTACCCTGCGCCGCAGTCGCGCTCCTCGCGCCGAGCAGCTTGGCCTTCTGCTCGCGGCGCAAAGCGCGCCCAGATTCTTCCGCGCGATTCCGCGGGAATGGAATGCGCAGCCAACGTGTCACAAGCACAGGGCGGGCCGGCCGCGGTCGGCCTGTAGCTGCTACTGGACGTTCAGCACCATTACATTAGAGCTCGGAGTGGCTGCGGAGCTGCGGGCGCGGGGGGCTGAGTCAGATACGTTGGAAGCCGCAGGGCGCGCGCAACTGGGTCGCGAAGATGCTTTGCGCGCGTCGCATTGGAGACGAGGCTTGCGAGAGGGGCACTGGATCTGCTCATCGGGGAGTGCTTCGCCGACCTGGCCAGCGCGTTTGACGCAGCCTTCCCATGCTCGGGGGTGGGCAGAACCCCCGCCCTGACACGTCGATTAGTGAATTGTTTGTTTTCGGTTCTCGAGAGGGCGCCGCGGCCGTCATTTTCCAGACTGGCACCGGCCAGGTTTGGGCCCGAGGTCGTTTTCGCGAAACCACGACCTTACAGGGGGTTCTGCCCATCCCCAACAGACGCTGCGGTCGCGGACATCCGCGACGTCGCCGATCTTCGCGGAGAAGCTCGTGTCCTCCCGTCGCAGATGTTTGTTGGGGCGGCCACCCGAGTGACTTCGAAGCGCTTCGTTTCTGCCGCGGTGGCCCGGGCGCGACGGATGGTCGCCGCCTCGCGCCGCGCTCTTTTGGCCGCCTCGCCCATCGGTTCGCGGGGGCTGAAGAGGGGCGCGCTGGTGCCGGCCCCGCCGGGAGAAGCCAAGGGCGCTGGCGCCGCCCTCCGGCGGGCGGCGACGCGCGGCTGCCTCGTTCGGGAAGCCCCGGCGGCGACGCGCGCCGGCCGCGCGGGCGCCCGCGGCTGGAATGCGCGCGTGGCCGACGCAGGCGGCGATCAAGGAAAAGCAAACGGCCTTTGACATGTTGATCTGCCCGACGCACCCCTAAATCTAGGCTCTTGTTCGCGCGCGGTCGACGCGTCGAGGTCTTCCATGTCGGGCGCGCGTTTCAGGGTGCTCTGGTCTCGCGAGGGTCGACCTTGAAGGGCCCGCATGGTCGGGGTTCACAGTTGAACCCCCGCGATCGGGTCTGTATTCGAGGTCCTTCGCGCAGGCTTATCTTCGGGGGGCTTGTTTTTGCGTTTCGCCGAAGCGACGACCGGAAGCCGCGCGCCCTGGGCGCAGCCGTTGCCGCGCACACCGGTTTCACCCAATTGCCTGGGGGCGCGCGCTCGACGACGGGTCTGGATGGCTGGCCTGATGCGGCAGGTGGAGCGCCGACCGCAGCGCGGAGGGGGCGGTTTACTGACGTGGAGTTCCTCTCAGGCCTTCCCATGCGCATCCCCCTGCGCGCGCTCCCGGTGCGGGTGCAGCCGCGCGCGTGCCTCGCGGTGCCGCTGTTCCTGGCGCGACCGGACTGGGGGGCCCGCCTTTTTGCGGCGCCGGACCGCTGGGTCACCTGACCTCCCGATCCAGAGCAGCCCGCCCCCCGCGCCCAGCTCCTCCGCGAGCCCGGATGCCCGCTGCGACTGGCGACGACGATCCCGCTGGCGGCTGTCGGTTACGCGGCGCGGCCCCCGGCCAGCGTCCAGGATCGCGGCAGTGGCGGGCCCGCGCAGTCAAGTTGGTTCGCCGCAGTCCACCACCGACACATCAGTGGCTTGGCGCCCCCCGTGCCCCCGCGCACCCGGCGCGGGCTGAGCGCGAGCGCGGCCTCATCCCAGGGGCGCGGGCGACGCGCGGGCACGGGAGAGCCCGCAACCGCCCAGCGGACGCGTGTCGCCGCGCGCTACCTGGACGCAGCCGCCCGGCCAGCGCTGATCCCTAGGGGCTCGGCCTGATGAGAGCGGGAGGCCCCCCGCCCCCCGCGGCGCGGCCTCCAGGCGACGGCGGCGTTCGCAGCGGAGACGGCGGCCCCGCCGGCCGCCATCCTCGGAGGTTGATAGACCTCCTACCCTGACACGTCGATTAGCGAGTTGGCCGTTTTCGGTTCGCGAGAGGGCGTCGCGGCCGTCATTTTTGCGGGTCGCAGCAGAAACGGCGGCCCCGCTGCCCGCCATCCAGACATCTGCTCAGTTCTAGATCCAGGGGAGGCTCACTTCCCGACGGGGCGCGGGTGCTGCCGTGTGCGCCCGCTGCGGGGTGGGCATGCTCCACGACGGTGTCCACCCGTTCGGGAGCGGCCCGCGCGCCGACGCAGCCGCGCGCGATGCCGCCGCCGGCACCTCCTGGGCGGGGGGTGCCTCCGACGAAATCTCGGCCGCCGTGCGCGCAGGCGGCGACGCGGACGCGGGCATGGCGGTCGCAGGGGCGCTGGCGCGCGAGGCGCAGGTGGCCCAGGACCTGGGCGCGACAGCAGAGTAGGGGGGAAGAGACAAGATATCCGTTAGCGGCCAGTGGTTGCTCCAACTGACATGTCGTCGTCGCGGACTGTTACGCCCTGTTGAGCTGTCCGGCAGTGTCAGATGGTCGGAGTTTACATAGACGGTTATGCTTGCGCTGAGCCGGTTTGCTGGCCAGTGCCGGCGAGTACCCAATCGTTGCCGAGCACGAAGAAAGGGGGAGCTGCGGCTGAGGAGATGGAGGGAGGGGAACTAAAAGGATGATGCTATGGAGGCGGAGCAGGAGGCGAAGGAGGAGCAGGAGGAGGAGGAGGAGGAGGAGGAGGAGGAGGAGGCTGCGAGGCGGAATGGGAGTCGGAGGGGAAGGATGTACCGTGTGAGGGGGGAAGGAAGAGGCCGAAAACTAGGAGGCGGGGGTAGGATTAGGATGACTAGGCTGAAAGCCCGCAGGGCCAGGACAAAGCACACGAGCATCCGCTCCAAGCGTCCGCGGACGGTTTATCTGCCCTCGGGGAAGCGAGCCATAAAATGTTGCAAGCAGTGAGAGTTGGCTAGTAGGGGTTGGACGTGGGGCTGTCTTGTGGTTTCCTGGGTGCCGTTTCGGATCTCTGGATTGCAGCTGTGCCTCGCAAGGGGTCTCTGGGGGCAGTGTTTGGCGTCCCCTGGAAGGAAGGTAGCCCTCCTTCCGATTCGTTTTTCCGGCTCCTTCCCCCCATGCACATTCCATGCGATTCTTTCTCTACGCTGTCGTCCTCCCGCCTTCGTCCGCCTCCCCCCGTCCTCCCACCTTCATCCTCCTGTCCCTCCGCCTTCTCATGTTCCCCGTCTCGCTCGTTCTCTCCCGCGGCAGTAGCACCATGTGAGTATATCGCTGTGTTCCCTCTCCCCCGAAGACGGCCTGAAAGCCGCGGGCCCACCTGTGCGTACCGTGTTTTTCTGCATGTGGCGGGCCCGATGTGTGTTTCGTTTGTTCGTGTGCGCCTTTTCCACTCCAGACGAGTTCGGTCCTTACACGCATTTTGCTCTCGCCGCACTGTGGGCCCAGTTTTCGGATCTCGGGTCAGGGCTTTTGTTTTGTTCCCGTCGTTAAAGGATGGCGTTTCTCTCTCTCCACTGCGGGCCGCTTTTCTGGATCCGTGTCCTTCCACCTCCGTGTCGCCCCCCTCCGTTCCCCTCCTGTGCCTTCCCCACGTACTCCTGCTCCTCACGCTCCTTCCAGTCCAGTTCGTGCTGTTGCTGTACGTCCTTGTCCTCGTCCGTTCTCGACCTCCTGTGCATCCTCTTTACGCAGCTCCGCTTTTCCAACTGCGCATGAAACGTTGGGGTCTTTTTGGGACTCCAGGGCCGGTATGACACGCGTCTGCGTCAGCACAGTGTGACGGGATGTGTGGGGAACGCGATCGCACCTAGTTTGTTCCACGTCCCCTCCTCCCCTCCCCTCCAGATCGCTGTTCTGTCAGACGGGGACGGCAGGTCATCGACAAGGGTGACGGAGATGGCATCGACTTGGACATGGACGTGTTGGTGATCCTTTGCGAACCCTTCCTGATGGGGGCATGAAGTTGGAGGATGAGGGGAATGGTTCCCAGACTGTCGAGGTTCGATGTTTCGGGCTTTCTGATGGGCTTCAACTTTTTTAGGCGGCAGCATTCGCCTCGATGATCTGGCCAGCACGCATTCTATGTTAGTCAGGCCATTGCCTTGGAGGCCCAGGAGGAGGAAGTATGAGAGGGAAGGGGATGGTGAGGAGGAGGCGGGGGAACGGTACGAGAGTACCTCGCGCTCGCGAATGTCTGAATACACATCTTGAGGGGCTCTCGAGTCGATTGTTCGCCAGGCAAGAGGAGTGATGAGCAGGGAGAGGAGGGAGAAGGAAGAATGAGGAGCAGGACGGGTGGCGGAGTTTTATTTCGTATTATTTCTGAAGTCCCAAAGTTCCAAGAGTTTTGAGTTGGCGGGGTGATGCGGCCTTCGGGAGATCGATGGAGTACCAGGATCAAAAAGGGGACACGATGAGAAGGAGGATGGATGGTGCAGACGAGGATGGAGATGGAGGGAGCAGTCGGTGATGCGGCGCTTCTCCGCCACCCCAGCTCCTCTCTCTTCTTGTATCGCCTCCTGATTCTCCACATTTCGTTTTCCGATTTTGCAGAGGCCCTATCGGCACCATCGCGTCCCAGCGCGCGGAGAAACATGGGGAGGATCGAGAAGGAGGAGGAGGAGGAGGAGGAGTCGTGACCAGAGTAACACCGAGCTGCATCAGTGATACCGCGACGCACCCTCCCGTCCCCAAAGTCCCTACAAGCTTCTCCTCATACTACAAAGGGTGCCCAGGTGAACGACCACTACCCTATGTCTGATGCTGGCCAATCTTGATCGATCTTGTTTGGAGCGGCTGGTTGTGGTTGTCTGGATTATAATAGACATGATAATGCTGGTCAGTATGGTGATGGCGATGGCGATGGCGATGATGGCCCTGCTGATGATGATGACGATGCTGATGATGCTGTGATGATGATGGTGCTGATGATTGTGATGGTGCTGATGCTGATGCTGATGCTGATGCTGCTGCTGCTTATGATGATGATGATGATGATGATGATGATGATGATGATGATGATGATGATGATGGGAAGTGTAATGGTAATGGTTCATGTAATGGTAATGGTGGTGATGGTGGTGGCGGTGATGCTAGTGATGACGGTGACAGTGATGATGACGATGATAATAATGATGATGATGTTGATGTTGATGATGACGATTCCGATTTTATTACGAGACGAACCTCTGACGAACGTCGGACACTTGGTGTGAGGAAATGACGAAATAACACAAACTCGCTGGTAGCTGACTTCAACACCTGAACCCTGAATGCTGTGTGTTTTCAAAATTATGGAAGCTAAACATCGTTCATAATGTGGCATCATGGTTTTGTTCATGTGTCCTACGAGCGCCCATGGGTCCGACAAGACTGGCGCAGCGCCGCACTCGTAGTGAATGTCAATCGAGTCTCGTTCATGATTTCGTCGCAGTTGCTCCAGGAACCGTTTGAGGTGGGACGCCATGGGACGTCCTAGCTCCGTTTTGCAGGGGGTGCAGCGTGGGCAAAGCGGACGATGGAGGAGCAATCGCGGACCTTCGTCGCCGCCGCCAGGACCGTCTTCCAGCCGTGGTGGCGAGGGCCACCACGAGGCCAGGACCGAACGGCACGCTTCCGAATCCCTCCTCGTCGTCGGCTCGGCGCCGACGCATCGTCCTCGTGGGCCGCCCGCGCCGTCCGCGAGCCCCCCCTTGCGCGGCGCCGAGGGCGACCACGACAGTCAAGATCAGCCCGAGCACTTCCGGGTGCTCCAGGAGAAGCAGGAGGACCGGCCCCGTCCACCTCGCCACCTCGCTATGGAGCAAGCGGCACACGAGGGACCTTCTCCGCCTCCTCCGCCGCCTCCTCCTCCTCCTCCTCCTCCTCCTCCTCCTCCTCCTCCTCCTCCTCCTCCCCCTCCTCCACCTCGCCATGGAGCAAGCGGCACACGAGGGACCTTCTCCTCCTCCTCCGCCTCCTTCTTCTCCTCCTCCTTCTCCTCCTCCTCCTCCTCCTCGTCCTCGTCCTCCTCCTCCTCCTCCTCCAGGAGGGGGCTCTGAGGTCTCTCGCCGTGGGAGGAGCGGCACCGCCCTCCCCTCCCCCTCGCCGTGGGGCAGACGGGGCCCGAGGGAGAGAGGGGCACTTCAGGAGGACAAAGAGACACAGGCACAGCTGAACGACGGCTTCCCCTCCTCCTCCTCCTCCTCCTCCTCCTCCTCCTCCTCCTCCTCCTCCTCCTCCTCCTCCTCCTCCTCCTCTCTCCTCCTCTCTCCTCCTCTCTCGTCCTCCTCCTCCGCCTCCTCCTCCTCCTCTTCCTCCTCCTCTCTCCTGCTCCTCCTCCTCCTCCTCCTCCTCCTCCTCCTCCTTCTCCTCCCTTCCCCAGCTGAACGGGGGCCGTGGGCGGAGGTCCCCGAGAGGCCACGCACCATGTGAGGGGTGCGCCGGAATGTGCGAGCGGGGCCGTGGGTTGAGCTTCGCATGAGCTCACGAGCCGTGTCAGGAGTGTGTGTCGACATGGGGGGCGTCGGGGCCACACAGGCGCCCGCACAATGTCGGTGGGTCAACGACCCTCCCCCCTGGAGGGCCATGGAACGTGTGAGGGTCGTGCCGGGGTTGGGGCGTCGGGGCCATAGTGGCGCCTTCATTGGGTCTGCAGCTGAAGCGTCTTTATTGAAGGCGCTATGAAGCGTGGGAGCCAGAAGTCCACGACACTCGGATAGCACAGCGCAGGCATGGAAGACCACGCCAGCGGTGGTGCGACGACACATCACAATTTGTACAAAGTCGAATTGGGGGCATCACTCAACATTGGCTGGACTATGCATGTGATTAGATACTTTGGGGCAGTTGGGAAGACGACTTCTCAAGGCCCACCCACGCTGCTCCTAAGGGGCCCGCCGGCCGGCCGGCGGACTCAGCGCGCTCCGCTCCGCTCCGCTATGAAGCGTGTGAGGGATGTGCCGAAGTGGGGACGGCGGTGCCAACAGGCGCCGTCACTGGGGCCGCAGGTGGAATTCCCAGTGGGGCCACGAAACGTGTCAGGGGTGTGCCGTAGTTGGTCGGTGGCGTCATGCGAGCGCCCTCACGAGGGCCGTCGGTAGAGCTCCCAGTGGGGCCACGGAACGTGTGAGGGCTGTGCCGAAGTGGGGCGGCGGCGCCGTTTGGGCGCCTTCGCGTGGGTCGTCATGTTTCGACCCTCTTTCGACAATTTTCCGGGTGCTCGCAAATCTTTCTGGGATGTGGCTCCTGAGTACGATGGGAACAACGTAAAAGTAGGCCCGAGCTGGAGGCTGGGGATGTCTCGAGCGAGAGGGGGGACCACACCAGCAGGGAGACCTCCCTTTGTCCTCGCATCTCCTCGCCCTGTTGGTGCTGGTGTCGCCTTTCCTTGTCCCTCCCTCACTCCGCCCCAGGCCAGCCTTAAGGCGGGCCTGTCCCCCTACAGGGGGATTGTCGATGAAAAATACAAAATATTCAAAAATAGTTTTTAAAAAGTGTCCAAAAATAGTCGGGGGATTATTTTTTATTACTTTTTGACTTTTTTGGGGCATGTTTGGGGTATTTTTAATTTTTCGTCGAAGATCTCCCTGTAGGGTGTAGGGGGACACGCCCGACATAAGGCCAGCCGGCTCGCCGCCCACCGGAGACGGGTCGCGGCGCCCCCGCCTTTTGGGGGCCTCCCGGGGGGCCTGTCTCTGGGGGGCCCTCGCGTGGCAGCGTGCGCCAGCACGCGGGGGCAGCCTCGGACCGCGCCAGGGCCTCGGCATTGCGGGCCCCTCTTTGCCCACGGCAGGGCTGGACCTACACGGTGCTCCTGGCGATCTCGTGGGCCGTTTTTTCGTTTCGGCTTCGCTTTTTGCGGCACGGGCGGACTCGAGACAACAAAGCGAGGGACAGCGAAACCGAAGCGAAAACGAAAATCACCGTTCAGGTTCAGCTCTAGTTCATAGCATGTGTCTAGTTTCTGCGCAGAGGGCCTTCGGGGAACCGGAGCTCACTTCGACTCTTCCGATTCGTTCTTGGTTTGAGTTCGATGGCTTCCGATTCCGATCCCATTCGGCTTCGGATTCCAATTCGGAATCTGGGTTCATCGGAGGCATTAGTGACCTTCGATTCCCGCCGATTCGACGCCGATTCGTTTTTTCTCAATTTGGCTGCCGTTCTCCGCCGATCCGATTCATTTCGATCGCCGATTCGACTCATCGAGTCGATTTTGGGTTCTCCTGGGGACCTGAAGGCACTGCATACGAACTGCGCTGCGAAGTCGCGCGCGCGAAGTGCCACACCAAGGTCGGCCCAATGTCGTGCGCACGAGAACCATTGCGGTGTTCTAGTTTTCTGGGACGTTCGCAGGCGGTGTCGGGCGCCCGCGAGCTACTCTTGGTAATCAATTTCGGTCCTTCCTCACACAGCCAACTTGGGCGTCAAATTCTGTTCAACTTTGTTCGTCATTTGTTTGCAATCAGGAAGGGGCGACATTTGTCGCCGCCTCCATCCTTCCCCCCACCCGTCTATCTCCATCCTCCTGATCATCCTCATTTTTCCTGTTCTTCGTCGCGAGCGTCGCCACTTGTCCCCGCCACCAGGTTCTGGTAACGCTGATGGCTGATGGTCGCAGTGACGATGGTTCGCCTGGTTGCGACAATTCATGCGATGCCGTAAAGCTCAACGGCCACGCCGACGGCGGCGCGCCATGGGTTTGCATTCCACCGTGGCCTCGAGGTGGACGGCCAGGGCATTTCGCGCCCCACTCCGTGTTGGGGATAGTCTCCAAGGCATCGGCCTCTGCGATAGTATTAGTATGTGGCTGTGGTTGCGGGTTTTGTTTGCTGACGCCGTTCTGTGGAATGGAGGGTCAATGCTGCCAGCGTTCCTGGCCACTCTCAGCAGGGGAGCGTGGGGAACGGTTGACGCAAAGGCGTGGGCCCTGTCGTATGTCTCTTGATCGGTCCACTTGCGACCCGCCCATGCAGGACTGGTACAACTACGACATCTATGCCCGCGTCTGCATGCTCTACGGATCCTGCCACTTCCTGTATGCGGTGGCAGCGCGCGGGATAACCCCCTGGCCAAGCACCGCAGGGCCAGCAGCAGGGGGGACCAGCAGGCAGACGGGGCCACCCACAGGCCGGGCGCGGGTCGTGGGCGTCCCAGAGACTTGGCATCGCTCGGACGTGTGCGATTTTCCTTCGGCGAGGACCATCGAGGAGCATCCTTGATCATTTGGCGAAAAAAACACGCACCATTTGACGAAAAAACAAAAGAAAACACAGGAAATGGACGTCCAAGCGATGGCCAGGAGGGGGGTGAGGGTTGGTGGGGAGGGTGATAGCATGGTCTGAGCCATGACATCTCCCCAGATTTCAAAAACACGTGTGGGACCCGTACCCCCCTGAACCCGACATTTGGGTCTTCGGGTTAGCTTGGGGTGGTCTGGCAGGTAGTGAGCTCCGGACCTCTTTCGAGTGCCACGAGCGTCGATTCGCGCTTAGTGGGGGGGCGTCGCTTCACGGGGGCGGCGATAATTGGTGGGGGAGAACGGTGCACCTTTCGGGCCCTGGAGGCCACCCCATGTCTCACGGCCTGTGTCTCGCGGCCCAGCAGATCCGGACCCGTTAGAGTGCCAATAGCGTCGATTCGCTTTTAGTAGTCGATGAGAATACGCCGATTCAGCACAGATCTGCGCCGATTCAGCTTCGATGTGCGTCGATTCGCAGGAGCCAACAAAGCGGTATGGGAGGCTCCGATGGATGTCGCAGAAGATGATTGCCAGATCAACCGTTCTTTTATCCAGTTTCGGGCTCCAGGAACCTCACATATCGATCTGGCTCGAAAAGTGGAGCAGAAAGATGGTTCGGGGCTCCAGTCATGATTTTTCGCGATGTCGAAGTTTACTCGCAACGCCAGATCAGAGGGGAGAACGCTTTTTTTGTTCACCCTCTGGGCCATAACGCTCGTGATGCTCCCCGGATAGCATAACGCTCCCCCCCCCAGTGCGTCCCTGGCACTGCCGCAAGTGCGTCCGTCATCATAGGTCAGGGGCGGCAAAGAGGGGGGTGATGACTAGGGGGGGGTGGATGTCATGGCGGGTGCCATGATAGTTCCCCTGATTTATGGCGCCTCTTCTTGTTTAATTACGTCCCTGGCCACCCCCCCTGGGCCGCGCACATGCATGCCGCTGGCCATGATTTGCGCCCCCCCCCTCTTTGACGCCCCCCTCTTGGCCGCCCCCGAGTAGGGTGGGGGGGGCCCTCCCCCCCACAACGCCGCTTATCACCGTGAGTCAAACATTCTGCAATGGGAAGGGACAGGGTACAGGATGGGGAGGGACGGAGGCGGGTGAGGGAGAGTCAGTCAGGCCCCCAGAGACCAGGACACAGATAAACCAGGACACGGAAAACCAAGGAAACGACATCCTTTCCTGCAAAGTTACGTTTTTCAGCACCCGTGCATGCTTTGTTTGCTGCACTGCAGGATTCGGGATTGTGTCCAGGGTTAGGGGGTTCTTGCAGGCTTTTGAGGTCTGTGTCCGGGTTTATTATGGAAATGCTGCAGTACAGTATGTTGTTCGTGCCGCCGTATGGAAAAACTGGTTTCGAGGGATGTTGGGTGTCCAGGTCTAGCGTGTCCGGGTCTACGGGGCCCTGAGTCAGGAGGAGGAGGAGGAGGAGGAGGGAGGAGGAGGAGGAGGAGGAGTGAGGAGGAGGAGAAAACTAATGCTGCCATACTGCCCGCCTCGACACGGCCTCCTACCTGCCGTGTCGGCCGTTGCTGCCTGCACCCGCTTTCATTCTCGCTATCATGCTGTGGACGCGGAAGCCACGGCCTGCGGTCGGGCTGCTTTCAGCTCCGTTCGGCGGCGAAAATCAAACCCTACACTCGCCGACCAACGATTCAGGCAACTCGATGGGCGGCGGGGTTAGTGTTCGGAATTCGTCGAACCCACGGAGAAGCCCGAACCCTGTCCTCCCCGCCCTCCATCGATCCAGGGAAATCGATGGTCGGCGGGGGTAGGGCTCTGATGTCACTACCCAGCGAGGAGAATGTCCTCTTCCTCGGCGCGCGCCCGTGTCACAGCCCCCCGGGGCCACCACTGCCCGTGCTGTGGTGGCCCACCCAACCTCCCTATTGCCCGAGGCGTGGTCTCATCCGTACAGTGCCGTTTTTACTACATGCTCCGCGTGCGGATCATGTATGACAAAATGCAGGGATTCAGTCTTACAAACAACGATAAGTTCATGCATACATTTATTCATGAACTCATCATGTATTAAACATCCCATATGTTTGAACATCCCATGTATGAAAAAAACTGCCCTGTACGGAATCCCGGCCAAGCTCCCGAGGCTTCTGGAAGCGTCCCGCGGGGCGCCCCGAGAGCCGCCTGGAGCGTCCCAGGACATGCGCCCATCGGGCTTCTGGGCCCCCTCACAGAGCGTTCACGGGGCCCTTCCCGGGCCCGGGTACCGTCAAAAACAAGGGCTCGGTATGAAGAACCTGGGTGGCCACATGTCAGCCCTGACCCCCACCCCCCCCGAATTCGAAGGGGGGGTCACTTCTTTCAGGAGCTCCCGAGCGGAGTGAACCTTCCACCCCCCCCTTGAAATCGTTCGGGGTTGGGGTAGGGTTCAAATGTGGCCACCTAAAACGGGTCCCGGGGAAGGGTCCAGACATCGGGGGGTCGACGTTGCGAAACAAACGCGATGTCGGGGGGCTTGGTACGGCACCGCTCAAAGAAGCAAGCACGGCAGACATGTATAAACGTTCGGCGATCCGCGAGGATTTCTAGGATTTGCGTTGGACTCCCCTGGCGGCGCCTCTGGCGCCGCCCCTGGCGCGCTCCGCGCGACAGGGCGGGGGGCTCAGCGTAGATCCAAGAAATCAGCGTCGAGCTCCGACAGTTCACATGTATGCCGTATTGCGGTGGTTATCATGCGGCGGAAGGCCAAGCATGTGTTGTGTCGATGTCATACGCCACTCGACGTCCAGGGGTCCCTCGAGTCTACAGTATGATCAGCAATGTAGGCCGATCTGCACAAGGACCGAGTACAGTCTTCATAGCCGGGCATGTTGCGTAGGAGTTCGTCTGGCTCGCGCTTGTTTCCAATCGCCAGATTCATCCGGGCTGGATTTGGCAAGGTCTCCAGGCGCGCCATGGCGTCAAGCATTTCGGGCAGCAGGATGGGGGCTGTGACAGTCAAAGGAGGGAGGAGAGAGAGGGAGGAAGGATGAGCAGAGAGTCGGGAGAGGGGGAGGAGGACGGAGGGTCGGGGAGGAGGCATGCACAGGCAGGAGGGAGGGACAAGGCAGGAGGAGGCTGGCCTGGCATCGCTCGGACGTGTGCTTTCTCGGCGAGGACCATCGAGGACCATCCTGGACCAGCGAGCAACAACACCACGCGCGAAACCGAACAATGCACGGGAAATGGACGTCCGTGCGACGGCAAGCTGGAGAGTGAGGGAAGCACGAGGAGGCGGGACGAGGCGGGACGAGGGCTGATGCAGGAGGGCGAAGGGAAGCACCACCACAGAGCCAAGCATCCGGAAGGACGCGCGGGCAGAAGAGCGCGCAATTGGCAGCCATTCGGAAATTATTGAAAGAGGCACGGAAAACAAAGCGCCACACGATTGTGAAGCAGAAAACAGAAGCGCCCGACTGTAAGACGGGGAGGAGGAGGAAGAGGAGGAAGAGGGGATCCTGCCTGGATGTAACATGTAAAGGGGGTGGGGTCTCCATGGGCGCCGCCATGGAAGCCATACGCACGTGTGGCGGCAGGAGACACACGAGACATGCGAACGCAGCAAGCCTGATAAGGGGGAGCCCCTGAGCACCACGCTCGGCGCAGCCCAGGTGACCTACTACTCGATCGGCACCACCATCTGCGAGCTGCGCGGATTCTGGATCATGTGGTCCCTGCCGATGCTCTTCATGACCGCGCAGGCGCGGGGACTGGACGGCGGCTGTGCTCGAGCTGCTTTCCCCGTCGTCATCCGCCATCGTCGTCAGCAGCCCCCCCGTCTCGTCCTGTCTTCCTCTCGCCCCCCTCCCCTTCTCTCCCTCTCCCCCATCTCTCCCCCATCTCTCTCTCCCTCTCTCTCTCTCTCTCGCTTCCCCCTCCCCTCTACCGCCCCCTTCTTCCTTGCTTCCCCCTCCCGTTGCTGCCCCCCCTCTCCACGTCTATCCTCCCCCTCTCCCCCGTCGGCCCGCGGAAGAGGAGGAGGACCTGAGGAGGGGGAGCCGCAGGATGTCTGGGGGAGCCATGTCGTAGCCCTCCAGGAGACGCATCACTCGGAGGATGCCAAGGCCTTGCGGAGTCAGTCCTGTCTACGTCTGGGCCCACTCCGTCTGGACTCGGCCTCTCCTGATAGGATGCGAGGTCCGCACGGAGTGCTCAGCATCCGTCTGGGATCTGTCCCGCCTGGACTCGGCCTTTCTTGACACTCGGACCCGCGCTCCCGGGCTCCTCTGCTGCCCCGCAGCATTCCTCGGCTCAGGGGCTGCGGTTCCATTGGTCGGCTGCCCCCCGTCTGCCGGCCCCCCTCCCCCCCCCCCCGAGCCCCCCTCCTCCGATGTGCCTCCCGAGCAGCCCCGCCGGGCGGCCCGAGAAGCGCCCGCGCTGCGGCCCGGCGCCGGGCGGCCAGGAGCCGGGGCTTCCGAAACGGTGGAGCTTTGGTCCTCCTCCGCCTGCTCTTCCTCTTCCTCCTCTCCTCCTCTTCCTCCTCCTCTCCTCCTCCTCCTCCTCCTCCTCCTCCTCCTCTCCTCTTCCTCCTCTCCTCCTCCTCCTCCTCCTCCTCCTCCTCCTCCTCTCCTCCTCCTCCTCCTCCTCCTCCTCCTCCTCCTCCTCCTCCTCCTCCTCCCCCTCCCCCTCCCCTCCCTCCTTCTCCTCCTCCTCCTCCTCCTCCTCCTCCTCCTCCTCGCTGCCTGGGGAGGGGGGGGATCACTGGGGGGGGAGAAGGGTGCATTTTTCGGGCCCGGAAGGCTCCTGCTTTGGGCCCTGAGGAGCTTCTTTGGGGGCCCTCCATGGCCTCTTTTCTGCATCCCTCGCTGCCCCCCATGTAGCGCCCCCCCCTCCCATTTTCGCGACGCCCAAGAGTCGGCCACGCGTAACTAAGAGTGTCCTTTTGCTGTGGTGAGCCTTGGTGCGGGCCCACAGGGGTGGCTCCAGCACTGGCCCGCGCGCGTGAATTTGTTGCCCTTCGCGGCCACCCGAAGCCGCGCAGCACAGGTCACTCGTTGTCCAGGTGCACTCGTTGCATGTAGCCGATGGAGGGACCTGGGCCTCCACCTTCGTGTTCGCCTCCTGTCGCCTCCTCAACCCCCCTCCTGCCTCCTTCTTCATCCGCCCCCCTCCTCCCTCATCCTCCTCCGCACCCCAGGAGGACGCGTCCTTGCAATAACCCGTGTCGCATCAACACGCCTCCTCTTGTTTCCACCTTCCGTGGGAGGTGAGGGGATCGGCATGTGGCGATTCGCTCTCATAATCGCCTCTAGTCCAGGTCAGTGAAACACGTAGACCCCGCCCCCGAGACAGCGACGTATTACCGAAACTTGGGCTCCGTAGTGCCAGTCTTGCCGGTGGGATAAGGCATGTGCTGCACAACCATCGTTATCCAATCGGGTTAGTTGGAAGAGGAGGGAGGTTGGCTGGAGGAGGGGAAGAGGGGAGGGCCGTAGGGAAATAAGACGTGTCGCTTCGATGGTTCGAAGGCTGAACCCTCCAGCTACGATGGTTCGAAGGCAGACCCTGCACCGCACAGCAGCCAACAGGCCTGAAAGCCTTGTGGAAGTCGATTAATGGAGAGGAAGCATGCTGCCAAATAATTTCCAGATGTATGAAATATGAAAGTTGTTTCAACTATGCTTTAACTATGTTAAACGCATGCTTGAAACATGTTTGGAACATGTTGTACACATTTTAAACACAGCTGGAATTCAATTCTAGGATTGTTTGAGTGTCCATTGTCGTGGCATCCACAATGAAAGCCCAACCTCCCAGGAGGAAAAACGCCATCCCCGCGGCTCCTCAACTCGCACGCCCGCGGCCCGCGCCCAGCCCGGACGGCTCGGCGGAGGAGGGGAGGAGAGCGTCAAGCAGTGGCGACGCGTCCTGGCTCGCCTATAGCCCCAACAAGCAATGTTCTAAGAACCTGTCGTGGTTTCCACGAGATGTTCTTAGAACGTGTCTGGCGAAGTCTGGCTCGTTTTGACACATCGGGCTTATGTTCCAAGAACATTGTTGTTATTCTTAGAACATTTTGGGGTTCTAAGAACATTTCGTGGTAGGACTATAGGAATGCCGGGACGGTCGGTCCCTGCTCAAGAAAGGACGCCTTTTTTGTTGCCGTGGCTTGCCCGGCAAGCGGGGGCGGCGCAGCGACGTGTCCGAGGGCGACGGTGCTTTCAAAACGGTGCGCGAGCGCCGGCTACCACCTCAGCAGTTTTTTTCCCAATCGTCGAGCAGATCGACCATCGAGTGCTGACGGCGTCAAGACTCCCTCTTCCAGCTGTGTGCGTTGAAAGTGCTCCTGAGGCTGGCCTCCATCTTGGCTCTTGTCGCCATCTCCTTCTCCGTATCCTCTCCCCTCCTCGAGGATCTTCTCGAGGCGCGGAAGAGGCATGAGCAGTTCCCGAGCTACGACGAGCTGGTGCAGCATCAGCAACAAGAGAACCAGCGGGGATATTGCCAGAGGCCGCACCACAGACCACCTTGGCCTTGCCCTTGCCGTTCCCGATGGCCTTGCCCTTGCCCTCACCGCCCTGAAAGTGGGGCCCACCACTTGGGCCTCGGCTCTCGCGAGCTGCACGAGGGCAGCCAGATACTCCAGCAGCACCAGCAACTCCAGCAGCAGCAGTAGCCACGGAGACCGTGACACAGCTGCCCAGAAGTTCAAGTGCCCAGCGGACGCGAGCAGCATGCGAAGCTCTGCAGTCTCCCGCTTCGTCACGTTGAGCTCGCGCCGCAGCTCGGAGAGACCTCCGAGGCGCCCCCCACACCACCTGGAGCGGAGGTGCGGTGCGCGACGCTGACCTGGCGCAGCGCCATCAGTCACTGCACGAGACGGGCGGTGGCCTTGGCATCGCTCGGACGTGTGCATGTTTCCCTCGGCGAGGACCATCGAGGAGCATCCTTGATCATTTGGCGAACAAGCCACGCACGAAGCCGAAAAAAACACAGGGAATGGACGTCCGAGCGATTGCCAGGGGGCTGAGGGGGTCGACCCGAAAAGTTGACCCAGAGCGGCAGCTTGGGCAGTGTCGCAGGAAGAGGGAGGGGAACGATGAATGTAGAGGGAAGATAGGACGGGGCTAGGATGAAGATAAACCCATTCCAGAGCGTTCCCGAACGCTCTCAGAGCGTTCCAGAACCGCGGCGAGAAGGCCGCGGCCCCCGGGAGCCCATCCTCCAAAGCTGCTTGAGCTGGGAGATTCTCTATCATGCATTTTCCTGCGAATTCATCCTCGTTCGAACAAGAGTTGATCCTCGTCCTGTCTTCGTCTTAGAAGAGGAAGAAGGGATAGTACATGGCCTCCGGAGGAGGGACGGACGCCTCTGAGAGGGTGGAGGTGGATGGTTGCAGGAGGGGGGGCGCAAGTCGCACAGATGTCGAAGATGGAGTGTCCACTCGAGCGCGCGAGACGTCGGGGCTTGAAACCGACGGCCCCATGGGAAGGTCCGGGGACTTGCTGGATCGCCCCCAATCAGTAGCGCGAGCGATATTCTGCAAACGCAACTTGCAATGCGGGCGGTGTGTTCAGTGTCTGACTTTGTACTGCGATTGTCTTTGATCGTAGTACGGGTTCTGCTTGAATTGCCGTCGGTCCACACACTTCCCCCCCCTCCTCCCCCTCCTTGCTCCCTCCAGAATCCACCCTCCTCGTCTGTCTTTTTCCCGTCCTCAGTGGGCATCGCAGTCAGAGCCCAAACGTCGTATCTTTTCGACTGGGCCTCCCCTGGGGCATTCCAGCGCGTAACTATGCTTCCACGTACGCTGCGCAGCAGAAGGCAGACGGCGACGCCGAACGTGAACCAATATGGGATTAGGGCGCCGCGTTCCCACGTGCGCCCCAAATTCGCACCAGACTCCTTAAATCAAAATATTGGGGACCTCTTCGTGGACGAGGCTAGCCGTGGCCGGAGAAGCGGCTTCAGGACGTCTGCTGGCCCCATGTGCGTGAGCGTGCGTGCGTGCTCGCTGCCAGGGGCTGTCCTATGGCTTGGCCGCCCCGCGCGTCCCCTCGCGACCTCGCCGCGTGAGCGCGCCCTCCTCTCCCGCCTACCGTCTCCGCGGCCGCCCCTCGGCTGTTTTCCTCTTGCGTGCGGTCCAACTCGCATCACCGTAGCCCGAGTTGCCTGGACGCGCGTGCGGGCCGGACCGCCTCTGCGGCGCTGCGACGTAAAAGTGAGTGCGTGTGCGGCCCTCAGCTCCACGGATCGATTCAGCTCCACCGATACAGTCGGGCTGCTGAAAGAAGGAACGCTAAAATGAGGAACGAAGCCCCTTTTTGGCCCTGTAAGCGCCTCCGTGCCCCAGGAGGGCAAGAGGAACAGCGCGGGGGGAACCTAAGGAACATCGAGCCCCTTCCGAAGCCAATGTGTTCCTTATTCCAGCGTCTTGATTGTAGAGCGCAGCATCTATGCGGCGCCTGCGTCGTATCGATGGGCTTCGGTGGTCAAGCACCCGACGGCGCTGGCACGCGTCCCGAGGATCATCGACGGAGGCTTGGAGTTGTTTCGAACGGGGCGCCGCAGTGCGGGGGGGACCGCGCCACCTGGAGGAGTCTCCTTGGATCCCAGGCGGTGGTGGGGGTTTGTGCCGACCTTCGTTGCCCCCGCCACGGGCGGGCGGATCCCCG